AAAACGTGTCAGTTAGAGAAATAATGTTCGATTTGATAAAAACAATAAAATAAAATTTGTTTATTAAAAATTTAGATGATATTGTTGAACGTTTAAATCAATGTGAATATTCATTTAATAGTCAATATGATTTAATAGAAAATGTTAATAAAATAAATCGAAAAGAAAATCTATCTCGATCATGTAAATCACGTTTTGATTTATCATTAAAATTATTTTATTATTCTATTGAAAATATCTTAACTTTTGGAAAAAAAACAGATTAATTTCAAATGAATTTAATTCATAACAAATTCAACAATCATTTCAATAAACAATTTTTCTTTTAAATGGATAAATAAGTAAATAAATGGATTTATTTTAGTAAATTAATATTAAATAATTATTAGTATTATATGCTCATTCGGATAAATATCATGATTTTAATTGGATATTACATGTTCATTCATTAGATGAGTATTCCTTTTTAAAAATCATACAAATTTTTTTAAAAACTTGTACACAAATAAGTAAATCAAAATCATTTATTAAATATTTATCATCAATGATTTTTTCAACAAAATCCTCATTATGGAATGATATTGAATTAAAAGGTATTTTATCATATAAAACAATATCATCAATTCAATCATCAAATAAAACAAATGTATCAAGAAAATTATTTCAATCGAATACAATAGATCAATTAACAGTAAGATTTATTATTTGATTTATTTAATACAATATTATACATATCAATGAATATGATTTATTTTAATTAAAAAAAAATTGTTTCCAAATTTTCATTAACGAAAACTTTTATTTTGAAAGAATTTTGTTCATAAATATTTAAAAACAGTGAAATATTTAGTCCGATCTAGTAACAAGAAAAATTGGTCCCTTAGAATACTTTATTTTTCTTTTTTTCTATATTTATCATGAAAAAAAATAATGAGAAAACATTTGATAATATATATCATCGATTTAAAAAGAATTTATTTCTTTTTCATAATCGAGCACGATGAAAATAAACTCATCTGAAATTCTATGAAATATGATAATTGTCGTCGACTTTTTCTAAAAGTTTGTCAAACAATGAAAATAATTCGATAAATAATAACCATTTTAAAGCCTGTCTACGGCGAACACTTGTTTTTCTTTCTAGAGCACACTTTTTATAGAGGATATTAGAGAAAAATGACGATAATTCCCTATAGTGTCAATCTTTATTTTTAGACGTAGAACCCCTTGGAATTTAATTTAAGAAAGTGTTTTGAATGAAAATTTTCAATAAATAAGATTATCTACTGATATTGGAAACGTTTAATTGATTTTATCAATATTCAATGAATATTTTTTTTCTCAAAAATTTTCAAAATCGAATTAACAAAAAAAAAAAAAAAACGAAGGAAAATATCTTGTCAAAGATTTTTATTTTTATTCAAACAAAATATTATTATAGAATAAACCAAAGACATTTTATTTGTCTTAGTTAACTAATTAAAATAAATCTTTATTAATATAATATCAATTTAATTCTTGAAATATTTCGTTTAAAAAGAAAAATTTTTTTTTTTTTCTAAAAAGTTGAATAGAATTTTAGAAAACAAAAATTTTTTAATTTATCATTTAAATTAACTTTCATAATGAAAATAAATTATAGGAATTAATAGAATAAAAAGAAAAAAAAACAGACGATGTTGTTGTTTAGAATAAATTGACAATAAATCGAAGTAAATCAGA